TAGCCCCACTGTGCTATAACGCTTAGGATTTTTACATTTTTGTTTCTAAATCATCATACATCCAAATAATTCTTAATGACCCCCCAAAGTGCAAAGATTTGATGTTAGTCACATAAAGTTGTTTTTTTTTTTTTAAAATTTACTGAATGGAATTGGTCAAATTAACTTATTGTACCCAAGTTACCTAAGAAACTTAAAAGGTTTTCCTCAAACAGGTCAAGTTGAACTAACTCATTGGGTTTTACAGTGAAATGGAGCAATGAATAATGATGATTCGGTGGGCAGGCTGAGTGGGACTAAGAACACTTTTGTTTTTTATGTTTATGATATTGTGCTGCTACGCTTCAGTGGTGATGGCAAGAATAGCATGCATCCTATCTTACTTAAAGTGAATTAGATTACCCTCATGAATTAATCATATCAATAATAGCCTTATTTTACATATAATGATGAAGATTTAAAAAAAATGGGAAAAAAAATTTCAGGGGAGCTCATGTCTTATAAAGAGGAGCCAAGCTCCCCTGGCTCTCCTGTTATTTGCACCCTGAATATAGGCCATGAACTTGAACTATATCTTGGTGAACAACAGCCAGGTGCAGTGACTGTGACAGTGAAGTTGTCAGGTTTGGCACCATTGTGCCTTTTTACATTTATGTTCATGTACGGGTTAAACAGATAAAATACACTGAGTAAGATTTTTTTTTTCTTAAACTTTATTAAACATCTTTAAATAACAAACATACCTTATCAGTGGTTGTTAAGCATACTTGAACAGAAAATTAAAAAAATAAATAAAAGAAGAACAAAGAAATAAACCAAACAAAGTCAAAATCTAACATGTAAGTTACATTACATTTCCTTCATTTGCTTTTTTCCAAGAATAGCTGAGCTAAGCTTAAAGACTCTGAATGGAGAAAACTTTTTTTTCATACATTTTATTAAACTTCTTTAAATAACAAACAGGCATCATCAGTGGTTGTTAAACACACCTAACAATGAATCCAAGCAGCATGCTTTAAAAAAAAATGAGAAAAGATAAATGAACAAAACTAAATATTAAAATTAAATTAACTTAAAGGGGGTTTAATCAATATCCTGTACAATGAAAGTAATTTAGAGAGTCTTAAGGCACTTCTTTTTAGGATTTAAAGAATATTCAAGTCATTTATAAATGCTACAAAGCTTGGAGCAACTTCAAACTGGACCAACTCCCCCCTACTGCTAGTCTTAATGTTACACTAGCAAGCTAAACACTGACCCATATTCCATCCATATTGTCCGTACTGCACGTTATTTGTGACTATTTGTACCAGCCACATTGTATGAACAAAGCAAACATTAGATGTAAACAAAGAAAAAACCTTAATTTTGATCCAGGAGTGTTTTAATCAACTATCTTTATGGGTTCTGATTGGATGCTTTTGTTCGGGTCCGGTGGATTTTTGCAAATACCATTAGCAGCACTAGGAGGAGCTAGAGGAACCTGTTTTTTTCACAGATTATCTGTCTTATGTTCTACTGTCAGGATATAGTGAAAGTTTCAGCAAATATGACAAAAAGTTATTTTTTATAAAAATACCTACTGCAGCTTTAAGCTGCTAAATGCTCCACTATGCTCACCAGCTAGCTTCTAACTTTGTCTGCCATTTGGACTGCAAAGTCAGAGGATAATTCACTACAAGCATCCCCCTCTCACATTACACATAGTCATTTTATCCATTATTCATATAAAAATATTGATTATAGCTGCTTCCCCTGGCTGAATAACAGGTAAATAAACAACATTCTGATTTTTCCCCTTTGGTTTGTGTGTGTATTGGGAATCAGAGTAACATGCAGAGTTCTGAGGTCACAAATGGCGTTACTTTATACTTACATGAGATTTATATCAATATTGGTTTGTTCACTTGCGGAAAGAAAGCACAAATTTCACAGATTTACATCATAAACACATAATATGAAGAGTTGTTCTGTGACATTCACCAAGAAAACCCAATGTTCTCTTCTTCTTTGGCCTGGGCTATGGTATTTCCTCATCCTCTTTTCTACTTTGTAATTGTTTGCAGTCATAAAGACATACTCTGCACTCTCCATCAATAAAATCTGACAGCCACTCCAGTGTTGTACGACTCCGTCTCCGTCTCGGTCACCAAAAAAAAGTTAACATCCCAGCCATCAAATGATTTCTAGAGCTTTTTAAGTGTTAATTACACGAGGCTCTGTGGCTATTCTAGCTTTAGGCCAGCCATATGGATTGGACATATGCTGCATATATATATAGAACAATACACATATATATAATTGATACAATGCTCCATAAAAACTGTCAGAGAGGGGGTAAAAAGGGGCTAGTGCTGCACCTCGGAGGACTGGAGATAGAGGGAGGTATGAGATATGACAGAGAGAAGCTTCATTCATCAAATCAGCAGTTCCCAACTTGTGGGTCAGGACCCCCACTAGGGGTCACCAAGGCTTCACAGGGGGACGCAAGGCCTTCTTGATTTTAAGGGGTGTAAGAAAACTTGAAGAATATACAGTTGGCTAATATGTCAGCATTTCATTCATTTCTGTAAATAAACTGTTATTTTTAAATTTAGATTATTATTTCAGATCTAAACTTTGAAGACCTGAACACAAGCTGCATTCACAGAGACTTCCCACCCTGCTTAACAGCCTCGTCCTGCATTTGGAAAATACAGTTAAAACAAAGAGCTAAAAGCACAAAGAGAAGAAAACACAGCATTTGTCAAAAATAAGCCTATTACTTATGTGTGATTATTAATAATGAAATAAATACATAATACAGATGGATAATTGTATAAAACTCATTTCTGATCAATATTCTCGGGAAATAAATCTGCTCTAAATTCATTCAAATCTCTGGTTTTACTCAAACTTCCTGCAGTTATTGTGTTCACTGTTTGGGTTTATTGTACAGTTCAGTTGTTCTTTACTTTTGTTGTTATGCAGCGAATAGAATATGAAATATCCATATAATATGCCACTCAATGAAAGAAAGGGTCTCATTTAAGGGAAAAGGTTGGGAACCACTGCATTAACTGACCCTCGTTTTTTGTTTATTGAGCCTGAGCGCTATTGTAATTTTTCAGTTTAAAATTACTAAAACCTGTCAGAGAGAGGCGACTCGGACTACCAGCGTGCCTTGCTCTGTGATGCTCTGTGATTATCAACAGAGTAAAATATATCCTTCAGCTGGTCCGGACAGTTTAAGAGCTTAACAGAAAGCCCAGGGAGCTTGACAAGGGCACCATTTAGTGGGACAAATGGTTTCAAATGGTTTCCCTCCAGTGTTTCTCCACATATTAATGATGACAGGCTAGAGGTTGGATGCTGAAGCCGAACGCCATGAGTATTGTTTTCTTAGTCACTTGGATGACTTGAATTCCAACTTTGTTTGAGCGAGTGAACGCTTCACGTGGCCCCTGCTAAACTTACTGTGAGCGAGAGAGGCTGCACTAAACAAAACCAATGTTAATCTTATGTTAATCAATCCGCCTTGCTGGACCTTTCGCCACAGCGATTGGGTGAACTCATACTCATACACACACACACACACACACACACACACACACACACACACACACACACACACACACACACAGATGCCCTTCCTGTGTTACAGTAAAAGGGAAAGGGAAAAGACTCAAGCTGTAACCTCTCATTCTGAAGGATATGAATAGCCTGTGTCTCCAGCCGCAGCTTGGTTAGCCCAAGTCTGGGACTTATTATAGTGCTGTGTGTTTATGCATGTGTCTGCGCATGTATTTGCTCAAGTGCAATCCCGTGTCACCGTGTGCGTGTGTGTATTTATGTGCATATGTAAATGCTTAAGTAACCTAATGTCTGTTTGAATTCCCTAAAAAATTGTTTACCTCACATGCCAGTTTAAATAGTATAACTTTACATTCTGTTAATGGCTACGAGCAATGTTTGTTCCTGTTTTGGGCCCGTGTTTGTTTCTGCTTACGGTACGTTGAGATATGAGAACGTAAAAAGTTCTGGAAAATAGGATTATTTCTCCTCTTCTCTATCCAGGAACTAGACTTAAAGCTCCTGGTCTCATTGTGACTAAAACCTCCTTCCTCTAACTCAGTTATTTCCAATAACCTAGCCATTTTTAGCCCTTTCTAACAGGTTTAGTTGATTTCCAGAACAGACATCCAAATTTAGCTTGGCGAAAACCAATTTGTACCAGTTTGGACTTAAAAGTAAAAGCCACGGGCTAGCTAACCAGGCAGAACTCCCATCCCTGATCCAGATCCTCAGTCTGTGGTTCCCTCCCATCCATGTTGTCTGGCCCGACTGCCTCAATTGACAGCAGAACTGCAATGGATGCTCATTCAGAGCCCAAGTCTCTGCTGGCGCGTCCCGTGGCATACAAATGAACCGCGCTGAATAGAAACAAACACTTAGAATAAATACTTTAGCTGCGTCTATCAGTGAATGCAACGTTGGGCCTGCAGCACAGCCAAGAGCTTGTGTGTTTGCATATGTGTGTGTGCAGAAGTATGGCCTTTGTATGTGTGAGCGTGTGTAGTATGTGAGTGCGTGTGTGTGAATCATTTGTGCTGAATCAGTGCACGTTGACAGAGAAGTGACCATGCAGGTGAAATGGCAGAGACAGGAAGTGCCTTTGTGTCGCAGTATTGTGTGTGGGTAACGGCAGCTGTACACTCTGCTCCCCATTCAAGTGGTGGTGGTGACTGGCAGGGCCGGGCCTCAGGCCTGCACGGCATATGCGCTCAGGCAGGCAGCATGCACCGTGAACCGCGTGTGTGATGTAAAGATGAAAGAATCTTGGTGGTGGGACTTGAGGATGATTAATAAATAGGTGAATATAAGAAGAAGGGTGAGGAGGATTCTCACACCCAGAGTGTGTGTTTACAACTTTGCAGTCAGGTTCTGGGTGTGTTTTCAAATTCTTTGAACATAAAGACAGTGTCAACTAATGAATAATTGACTGTTGTGTTACATTTCAGGCAACCGAAACCTTTCTGTTGAACGAAGAACCCTCCAGAGGTCCTGGGATGCCTGAATGCTTTGTAGTATCAGATTCATACAGGGTATGCATCTATTATTATTATTATTTATATTATTATTATTTCATGTGTTGGTATTAAATATGTGTTATTTGAGTCATTACTCATTACTATGACTGACAGTCTGTTTTCATGCTCTTGGTAATTGCACCACAATCATAATGTCATTCACAGCTCCCTCTACTCAGCTGCAAACCATTACAATCATTATTTCCACACGCACATTTAAGGGGGAAAAAAATGGGGTGGGGGGGCCTTCGCAACTCCACCGAAGCGCCCTCGCCTCATGGGAGTGAGGAAAATTATAACGATAATGCGCAGCACGCCTAGTTGTATAAAAGCCGAAGGAGGAGAAAGTTGAAGAAAGTGAGCAGCTTTTATGGAAAAAAAAGAAAAGAAAAATCCACCCAGTGAGCGCAGTGGATTTACAACGATAGACGTGATATAAAATGGTAATAAAAACAGAGGAGTGGGGATGGGGAGGGGGAGATGGGGGGCATCTGTGGATGACTGAAAATGAGATTGTTAATGAGGTGGGAGCCAGTTTTCTAGGCTACAGTCTTTGTTTCCCAGAGTTAAGACTTACGCCAAGTCTCCCGGAGAATCTGGGTTGCTGCAGTGTATCGTGTGTCTCGGGGTACAGAAATGAGCCATTATGGCTGTAATTGAGTAGCACGGCTGCGAGAGGAGAGTTTTGGAGAGGGGGAGGAGCGTCGCTGGTGCTGTATTGGATTCCAGGGGGCAGCGAGTTCAAGAACATCCACAGGAGGGTGTCCACCTCCAACTTCTCACCAGGAGGTCTGCTGTTGGGGGGCTTAGTCTTGTATAAAGTGCTCGCCTTTTTTCTCTGTGTGCTTGGCCCATGTTCTAAGAAATCCTTTTCAAAAAAGGTATATTAAAACTGAATGGAGGTGATTTTAAAGCTGCAGTAGGTAACTTTTTATAAAAAATAACTTTATATTGTATTTCCTGAACCTTTCACTATATCCTGACAGTAGAACATGAGACAGATAATCTGTGAAACAATCAGGTTCCTCTGGTTCCTCCTAGTGCTGCTAACTGCATTTCTAAGAATCCACCGGGCCTGAATGAAAACAACCAATCAGGGCAGAGAGAGATATAAAGACACTTTGGTTTTGCAGCTTTAAGATAGTTGATTGTTGAGTCTCATTTCCAGAGTCCCAAATTGTCTCTGTTTGACACCCTGGGAATGAGACTCAACAATCACCTATCTTTCTTGGCGTGTTTTAGAGGTGGTACGATCTTAAAGAGCGAGATGTTGCAGTGCCATTGTTCATTTCTTGGACCCCCGGCCTTGTTGGACCCCTTAAAATGAAGAGGTGTCTACTTGCCTGTGTTTGCAGTGTTGATATATGAACAGGGGTTAGTAGCAACAAGTTCCAGTATCAACAAGTCATTTCTATAATTCTATAATTAAAACCTAAAAATATTTTTTTATTTTAAAAAAGCGGCAAAATCAATCAAATCAAAAATCAAATTGCTTCAAGAGTTTCTAGAAATGAGCATTTGTGAAACAAGACAGAACAAGGCAGCTCTCTAATGAAGAAAAATTAAGCGTGTTTTTAGAAAACACCTGAGATGGAGGGAAAAGAGCTACAGCCCATCACTTACACTCACCTCTTTACTGATCGCGTTTCGGTCCGCAGACCCTCATCAGGCGGAGTTATATATAGACAAACAGCAACATACAGACATACATATGTGGGCTACAGGCTCCCATCCGGGAAAATCAAAGAACGCCAGCAACACTTTGCTGTATGCATACAAATTAAGGTCAGTGAGCTCTTCCAATATGAAAGCAAATGTGATTCTGAGCTCCTCCAACTGCAAACAGACATTGTGAATTTACCAATATTATAGAAATAGGCAAGACATTTGTCTTTACAAATCAGTCCCATATTACACAATGTAGCCTACAGTCTTTAAAGGTAGGAAAAGACACTAAAGGGAGTCTAAAAATAATGTAATAAATAATTAAAGAAAATACTTAAATTGATTTATACTGAATTATTCTTCTCTTTTTAAGAACATCAGACTTTGGTGATGACTTGGTAAGAAGGAGACCTTTGCCGTGACCTTTGTGACCCCTCTGATTGATGGTTTTGGGAACCTGTGCACTGTATGTAAACCGTGGCAGCTGACATCTGCTCAGCCAAACAGCGCTTAACCGCACTTTTGCTTATCTCCCATGCGCTGTGTCTCCTTTTACACCAGACAGACAGCCAGGTGCGGTGTTATCCCTGCTTGGGATCGTTTCGGGCAAATTTTGCAGTTCACTATCATCCCTTGAACAACCCGTTTTTGCAGGCCTGGGGCTCCCCTGAAGCACCCAATGTGGGGATATATTACACATCAGCTTCTCTGATCGTTCATTATTAGCGAGAGGCTCTGGTGTGTTTTTTTTTTTTTTTTAAATGTAACCGACTCCGAGCTGATGGGTGAAGTCATTACAGCGCCGGCCACTCTGGAGCAGTGGTAAATATGTATATTCGAAGCGTGTGAAAAAGCAGAGCCGCAGCAGACCCACCAACCGTAGCATATGGCTCTACCATGTGTTACTTAATGAGAGATTTACTCACACAGACCACTAAATGTGTGGCTCATTTAAGGCAGAGGCAGAGGAGTGTTTGTTGCATGCGAGTTGACTCTATAAAGGAGGAATGGGGGGGGGGGGGGGTTGATCCCTGTGTAACCACTCGCTCTAACCTTTTGCACTACACTGCAAAAGTGAGCTGAGAGCAAAAGAGTAGTAGCAGGCAATACACCTGCCTGAAGGGGGAAAGGTGTGTGTTATAAGGTGTGTCCGCATGTGTGTGCACTTCCTATTAGTCATTCACAGAAAGGATTGCTGGTATTCCAACACAGTGCGGCGGGGAGGACAGGAGGTTACAGTTCTGTGGTGCACATACACTCCTGACCACACACTCTCTCCCTCCCCGCCTATGCCTCTGGCTCGCGTTATCTGGCCGTGCGCAGTAATTGGCCACACAGAGCCCAGATCTCTTTGTTTTCGCCCTGCAGAGGCTTGCGGTAGACGTGCACAAGCAGTAGGCCTCGTAAATCTGCGGGGACTCCAGTGTCAGGCCCCAAAGTTTCAACTCTTTACAATGACTTCACTCCCAGCCGAAATTCCCCACCGTACCGCACTCAGGAGCCATTCCAGAGAGACTTTTCTGTGATATGTGTATCACTCACTGCTGTTTGTGTGTGTGACAAAAAATGTCTTTCACTCCCACACCCCCCAATTTAGCACAATTTAGTATTTTGATACTGCTCAGAGGCTGTGATTATACGTCTGTCTTCACTGTTTGCTAGTTTTCTACTTCATAGTGAACGCTGCAGCGACTGTTTGGCTTGGACTCACTTCACTGGGTTTTTAAACTGCAGTTGTGGGTTCCAGACTGGGTCAAATATGGTTCAGTAAATAAATAGTCTTTAACTTTACAGCCCTGATGAGATAATGCGTCAATTTAAATGCCTGCAAATGAATGTAAGTATATAATCCAGTGCAAACTTTAGCTTTTAATGCACAAGACTTACGAGCTGAAAGCCTCCCATCAGGAGCTGCAGCAGAATGTTTAATTCAGCTGTACTTACACAACCCCGGCTTATTAATGCGTGCATTAATAGTCAGATCAGAGGCATTCATGTGTTACTCACAACATATGCTACAAAAAGTTTGCACAGGTTTCTCTAAATATATCCATTTTTACCTTGTTGCTGTTACACCACTCTGATCTATTATAGTGGTGCGTTTACGTGTCTCCTTCAAGTCAAAATGTAACAACTACAAATGCATTAAACACGCACTGAACGTCTCCTCCACTCTGATTATTATTTGCATTACCATAATATGGGATACACGGTTCAGTAAACGCAACTGAAGCACATTACCGTGCAGAGGAAGCAGGGAGCGCCTATAGGATCTGCGCGGCGCGTCAGACAGTCATCGAAGATTAATCAAAAGATTTATCTCGTCTGAAAAAAAGTCAAAAGTTCTGCCACAACAACACCTCGATGCGTGTGCACGAAAATTAAAAAAGGGAGGCAAAAAAAATGACCGCCTTTCGGGAGAACTGGTTGCAGAGAGGAGAGCGATAAAAGTCCTGCAGGAGGAGAGGGGAGGGAGACAAAGTTTTTTCCCTGAAAGTTTGTGCAAGCTTTCACTTTCATAGGCGGGGTTACTGTAAGCTGCAGCAGCATGGAGTGAGAGAAACGGGACGGCGAGCGATTGCAATGCAGCACCATACCGAGCTTCCATCCAACTTAAATAAGCTCTCCAATTCTCCTTTCTAAAAATAACCATGTACTCCCCGTACTGCTTGACACAGGTAAATTGTCTTATCTTCTTTCATTGTTTGGGTAGGCTGTAGTGGGGACGCCGGCTGAGTGTTGTTTTTTTATTGCGCTGCCTGTGTGTGTGTGTTATTTTCCCTGTGTTTATTTGTTGTGCCGGAGCGTCCTTTCTGCTCTCGGACTCGCTGTGAAACTTCGCCCCACTCCGCGCCGCTCGTCCCGCCACGGAGCGCGTTTGTGCCGCGGGAAACTTTCTTGTGCGTTTCCATCGCACATGGGTTTTGGAGAGAAAATGGCGCTTCTCCCGAAATGTATTTCATATAAAAAAGAAGGAGGGGAGCCCCGCAGGAGGAGGGGAAAGCAGAGCGCGGTGGACAGACGGGAGACTGTGGAGCGGAGTTTAATATTTACTGCTGGAAGATTTTTTTCCAAGTGGCGAGGCTCGCAGGAGTTTGGGGCCGACGAGAGGAGTTGCACTGCCGCCTCTGTAGGGCTGCTTTCATGTGGAGCTGAGACCGGGAGACACTGGAGCTGGTGTGTGTGTGTGTGTGTGGTGCGTGTGTACGCGCGCGCATGTGTGTTATATACTGTGAAGAACAGCACAGGCATCACCTTAGATAGTGATTTTCTGGAGCTCTGCTGCACCAGTTGACTATTTTACAAGTCGTTTGCACTTGAATGCAACACGTGCTGACATGCAGGTTAACAGGAGACAGGAACTATGGATTTTACATCTATATGTCAGCCTCCGCCTCTTCACGTTGCTGGTTTTTTTGCATGAACTGAGTGCAGACAGCAGTGTGCTGAGTTCCATGTTACAGTTGATTTAATTACAGCTGATTTCATTAAATGTCACTTTGTTATGTAAAACTGCTTCTTCCAACCTCTTTCTGCAGGTAGTACTTCCCCTCACAGTCTTTCCCAGTTCATATTCTAAAAAAAGACAAAGTGAAAGATTAAACACAGGCTATTTTTATTGTTATTTTGTTTCTGTTGTCAAGGAAACAATAGGAAATTTCCCCAAATGATTACTGAGTGGCTGAACCTTTTTTTTTAGTGTGACACAACGTGGGGAAAGGAGTCCCTTCACTCTCGGGTGTGAGGGGTCAATAATGAATGTTGCCTTTTGACTAAACTTCAGTCATATTTTAACTGTCTTAAGCAATGATTCATCATGCTAAAAACTTCCACTATTTTAATAATTAATCTCAGCCTAAAAAATGCCACGTTTACAGCAGCGAGCAGGAATAATCCGAGGCTGCCTGCAGAACTTTCTCAGTGAGATTTTTTGCACCGCAGCCAGTTCCAGAATGTAAAATCCAGCAGCTTCCCTCTCACACTATTAATCCACATCTTTTATAAACTGCCATTAGTGCAGCAAAATAAATTAAAAATATTTCCTTCCAGCAGACAAAGCCTCTTTTTTCCCCTGGCTCTGTAAGCTTTTTGAAGGTATTTCCTTCATGGCAATGTTATACAGCTGCTGGAAGTCTCACTCTTATAAAGCAGACTTGTTTATCCCTCATTGGCTTCATCTGACAGTGGACTGCCAGGGCGCGTTTGATGTGTAATTCATTCCTGATTTTTACAGTGGTTTTATTAAAAGACTTTTTCCTCCCATGGTGCAGCCTTTGCTCCCAGAGAGGATGCTCTCTCGTGCGGGCACAAGTCATATCTGGTTTCCATTTCAGAACATTAGCAGCTCAGATCATAATGTCGTCCTCTCAGACAGGGGGGAAAGGACATTTTTTTTTATTATTTTCCCCCTTTAATTCTCCATTTTATTGAAGGAACTATTAGAGGCCACTTAGTGTGTTGACATAAAAGGGTGAAAGTGAGTGAATTCTGCTCAGAATGAGAATAAAATAGAAACAGATCGTTAAATTAACATCACAAGCACCACAAATATTACCCATAGATTTTCAGATGCTGTGTGTGTCAGATTATTTTAAATATCTCCGGTCTGAGCTGCCCGGCCTGCACTCTCCAGCAGGCCTCCAGAGATGATGACTTTATCTGTAATTGATAAAAAATTCTCTCACAGCAGATAATCCTCCAACAAAAAAAGCTTCTATTTAGCTACATAAATTTCCCTTAATCAGCACTAATTGGCAACAGAAGCCCATACAGTGTAATGTGGTGCACATGTTGCACATAATGCTAACTTGCAGTGTGTCATTGGCCAGGCACGAGGACGACAGAAGCGGCGCGTGGAGCACGGGAAAAGCCCCCCTCACACACACACACACACACACAACACACACACAAACACACACATACACTCATGTGTTTCTTGTCGTTTTTGAAAGATGTTTTTGTACCCGTGTGTGTGGAGAAGAAACAACTTCCTTCTCAAACAGCACCACACACACACACACACACACACACACACACACACACACACCTCAACATTCCCTTGCAGCTCCGTCTGCAGACGGAAAGGCACATTTTGTTTATTTAATTGCTGTTAATAATTAAAAATTCGAGCTTGGACCTCGGATATGGCAACAATTGTAAACAATCGAATGAATTATTAACTGTGATAAAAGCCTTGCTGGAGAGAGGCAGCGTGCTGGGATGTGACGGACGGTGCGTAATGGAAGCAAATTACGGGCAGAGAGAGCCCTGAGAGGAGAAGTGTGTGTGTGTGTGTGTGTGTGATTCCTAGTGTGTTTTTCATGTAATTTAAGGATAAAAATCACATTTAATATTTAGGCCTTTTTAATAGGTATATCTATAACAGATATTATAGGTTTGTGGAGAGAAGTGGAAGCCAGCCCCACTGCAGTGTGTCATATTGTTTAATTTCCCATTCATCCTCCAAATACATTTGAAGCCTTTAATATACAGCTAAAATTACAATTTCCTGCTCAAAGTCTCCCTTTTCTCAAATCCTCATAAATTCTCATTATTTCCACTAATCATTTTCAGCTGTTGCTACTATTTATTTGACGTGTTGTGTCCGTTTTGTGTGCGTTCCCTGCAGGCCACAATGACGCAGCACAAATCTGCACCCTTAAAACAACTTTTTCTGGTTTCATTGCATCTTTAAATGTGTTCAGTGGTGCTATATCATGCAGCTCGTAATGTTGTCATCTCAGACTGTTTTCACTGGTGCGACATTTTAACTTATTCCTTCCCTCTGCCCCCCACCCTCTGCCCGCCTGGACGCTGACCCCTGCTCTCCTCGCCTCTTAACACCCTCTCAACACTAAAGTATTACCCTACTCACCTTCTAAACAATGCCTTAGTGGTAAGTCCTATTTAGTCCCTATTTATTCCGCATTAGGTGTGTGTGTTTTCATATATTCCATCTTGAGAAAATGTTTTTTTTTTGTGACACTCCTGCAGGGCCGCTCACGCTGACCCGCAGCTGGGATTATTGTAAGGCCCCGCGCAGGAGAGGGCAGTTATTTTGCACACACTCCATGAAAAGTTGCATTCTCTCTCTGTGTTGTTTTTGCAGCCTGTTATTGGCGACATGGTCTGACCCGGACACTTTCTTTTCTTTTTCTTTTTTCGCTGCAGCTCCGCTCCGACCGCTTTGTGTGTGTGCAAAAGGAAAATATCAGATCGTTGATAGATTACATCACAAATGTGACTTCTAAGTTGTATTTAAAGAAGATGCTTTCCTGTTTTTGAATTTGCCGTGTTTTAAAAAAGAAAGAAGGTACACAGTGGGCCTTAATTTTGAAATGCCCCTTATTATATCTCAGTTTAATTTAAATTGCGTCATCCAAACTACAACTGGCGCTGCACTCTCCCTTCAGGCCTTTCTTCTCATGCTGCAGCAAGTTCCTATTTGCCTTGGTGTGGTCTAATTATCGGACACTTCCCGATCTTTTTAAAGAACTTTCTTTGTCAGTCTGCAGCAGTCAGAAGTCACCTCTGCTTTCAGGTCCCCGTCTCTTTGCGCATGACTTATTGCTTTGTCCTCCCAGCCTGCAGCAGAGCAAGCCCCCTTTATCAGCTCTATACGCTGCTCCAGGAGGATCTATTATGTTTTTCTTACGGCACCATGCACCCTTATCCCTTTTTCTTATCAGAGAGATTGTTTACAATGAAAACATGAAGGAATATATAGAGGAGGGAAAGCATGAGCTAGTTTGTTTTTTGTGAAGATCTGATTAAATTAATGTAATCAATATCAGGACTTTAGAGCATTAACTTTACACATATTTGGTGAGGTGGCCCTCTCTCTCTCTCTCTCTCTCTCTCTCTCTCTCTCTCTCTCTCTCAGACACACACACATACACATACACACACCTCTGTTTCTTCCCAAGGCCTGCAGAATGAGTTGGAACAGCTGTTCAGAGGATTAAAAATCTGATGGAAGCGCAGTCTGAATAAACAGAAAATGTAGGATTTTCAGAATTAAAGGCGCACGGACATGCAAACATACACCTAAAAAAAACAACCTTTGGTGCCATGTCTTCATGCCAATTAGGCCAGTGAGTGGTTATCACCGGATTAACCGCCATGCCAGTTTCCAGGCGGCTGTGTCTCACCTTTATCCTTTTGAGAAAAAAACACCTTTTCAAGCCAATGGTTTCATTTTAAAAGCGAGCACCAAAGTCACATTGAGTTAAGAATGTGCCTGTATTACATTTCTCAGATAGGTATATTGAATTATAGTATCACTGTGGGTTTTGGTTCAGTTGCACACAAGTTGAATTGTTTTAATTCTATATGTATAGCTCCAGTGATGCCAAAAAGCAAAGAGGAGTTTGTTTGGATATTTGTGGGCAGCCAGTAGAGCACTCTGCTTCTGGCCGGCACACAGAAGAATGAACTCATAGTGCATTTGATTGACAGGTAGGGCTGATCTATTGTGCTCGCTTGTAACTGAGTTGTGCGTGCACACGTGTGAGAGGGGAAGACAGGCGGGGAGTGTATATACAGGGGTGAAATCGGAGTCCCCGATTGGCCGTGCTGCTGTTGTGCGCAGATCTTTTCCTCTCATCACGGGGACATCGGGAGGTCATAATGCCAGACGCTTGCCTGGGACACCGTGTTCCTTTTACTTATTCATTCATACAACACAAGCCGGTTAGAGGCCGATCCACTGTGAAGGCCCACATTATTAAAAGGCACAAAATGTTTTGCACATCGTACTCTAGTTTGGCTCATAGTTAAGGTGGCATTTTTTGTGTTTGTGCCACCAAACCAGCCAGGAGGTAGCCCTGTTAAGACATCCTGCAGCTTCAAAACTGGTAGCACGTTGCGGATGCTGTGCATTCTGTATTTCTGAGTATATAACCGAGGGGTATGAAGGTTCCTGTGATTAATGCTGTTGTCAGTGATATACATTTTCTGCGTTTATTGTCTGGAGGGGGGCACCGTGCGTCAGCAGGGGCGAATTCACAGCAATTTTCGCAAAAGAAACTCTCTTTGGTGGCGAGGACAAAGACGAGATGAGCTGGGCGCATTTTGGCAGCGAGCGATATAGATTTGAATTAAGTGGCATGTAGTTTTTATCTGGAGCTGCACGCAGAGAGAGGCAGAACCAACTGCTTCTCATTCAATATCAGCACAGCTGTCCCAGCATCCGTGGAGAATGGATTCCTACTGCTGCTGCCATGGGAGGCTCCAGCCAAGAAGAATGGGAGGATATCCAGTGTGTGTGCTTGTGTTTTAAAAGGAAGACGAGGAGAGAGGAGAGAGTAATATGCTGGTGTGTCTGTCTGTCTGTGTGTGTGTGTGATTTTGCATGTGTGTGTCATGTTGTCTCCACCCGCCTCACTTTTCCTTCGCTCATGTCACCCCTGGCATGGATTAGTCTTTGGCAAAACCCTGGCAGCGCCCGTGGCCCCAGCGCGGTTCTGTGGTCGCCGATATGTTGTGCCGTTGCCATGGCTACTGAACACACACACACGGGTGCTAAATTACATAATTGAGCTAGAATATACAGAGGAACACAAAATACTTAGTGTACAATATGAGAGTAGAGAAAGGGAAAAGGGCAGGGGGTGGGGGGCTGGGGGGTAAGAGTGTAGTGTGAGTGAAGGGGGTGGGGGGGCTCTCGATTTAGAAACCACCAAGACAAAGTGTGCCTTTACCAGAACGAAGCATGAGCAGAAAACAGAAATACATTGGCGAATATTTGAGAGCTTTGTCATAGCTGAGCTTCAGACATCAGCACAGCGTGTTCTTTCCTCTGATTTTGAGTCATAAATCTAAATAACAGTGCCGCCATTATGTGGGTATTTGGAACGTTGTGACAACCAATCTGACAGGGCAATTGAGGATAAGGTGTTTATGGTGACACACGAGTGGTGTTTGTGTGTGTTGAAGAATGAAGCAGAGGGAGAGAAATCTACTGTGTTTATATATGAGAGAGGGTGTGGCACCTTAGGTTTATACAGATACACCAGGAGGCATACGCACATATTTCTTCCCTTTTTTTCTTGTCCTCTTCCTCCTCCTCCTCCTCCTCCTCCTCCTGGGCTTCAGTTTGTTTTGAATAGATCTTGCAGTATGTCAAATATCAGGCACCATTTTTGTCACACTTGGCTTACATTGGGCTTCAGTGGCAAAGCCTTTGAACTGCATTATTAGTTATTAGTAATACTGTATTATTTCGGACTGATGAGTCTGTTGTAATCATTTAAAGGACCCCCTGGAAAATTGCTGACGTGGTTTTATCCACAAAAAGTTCAATTACCTACTCCTCCTTCCTCGAGTTGCACATTGGACCGTGATTGGCTCCTGAGTTCGCTGTGATGTCACAAAATCCTGCTTGTACATATAACCATAACTTTTAGCTAACAATTTCAACAGTTTATTCATTACCTTTAGCTAAGTATTTCAACTATTTAACCATTACCTTTACCTTTGACAGTTGTTAATACTTTTAGCAATCTATTTAGACAATTTAAAGGTCCAGTGTGTAACATTGAGGAGGATCTATTGTCAGAAATGGAATATAATATTCATAGGTATGTTTTCATTAGGGTATAATCACCCAAAAAATAATGATCATTTTGTTTTCATGACCTTAGAATGAGCCATTTCAATCTACAGCAGGTCCTCTTCTATGGGGTCTGCCATGTTGAACCACCATGTTTCTACAGTAGCCCAGAACGGACAAACCAAACATTGGCTCTATATAAGGCATTTTCAGGTTAATGCAGTGACTGTAGTTTCTCCTACAGGCTTGCCAGGCAGCAGTATTTAGTTGGTGGCAATGTGCAACTAAATTCTACACACCTCCTTTAAGCTGTGGTTCAAGGTGAGCACAGAGAAGCAGCAGGTGAACATCAGACATCCAGAAGTGACAATAAGTTAAACATATCTTTGACAACTACACCACAAACGTGGATCAGGAGAAGAAGCTCTGCTGTGTCAATCTGATAATTTATGATTGCAACATTAACATGAGAATCAATTATTTATTTGCACCAGAGCTATAGTGTGAGGCTGGTAGCAGCAAACTGTCATTGCTATAAAGGATTTCGGTCATAAAGTCACATTGCGAATTGTAAAGTGAGTAATTGTTGTACATTTCGCAGTGTTTAGTTAATTTTGTTCCGCGTCTAGTGCTACAGACGACCGACTGAGAAATGAGTCTGAGTGTGCTTTGTTCTTGCATTGAATAAATTTGAACTAATGCCAGTATCAACACACGGCGCGAACGTTGACAATAATTCATTCTCTGTTCTTCCATTTTAATCAACAAGTAACGTTTTCCGTAAAGACAAGCTGTATGATATTTACTTTTCCAAGATCTTTTGTAACATAAGGGCTGGAACAAAACAAGGCACGTGCAAAGCCATTGTATCAGTCTGTCACAGGTCAACAGGAATAGATGGAGAGTTATTGTTGCGGATCATTGACAGCCCACTCAAGGTCACTTCGGTGTGGGCAATCTGGTGCATGTTGTTTGGCCTGTCCTGCCTGCCTGTCTGACCTACATCTCACTGCACCGGCTAAATATATACAGTAGACCCCTCATTGCAAAGCTTCCAGATTAATCTGGATGAAATCTGAGCACCGTTTCACTCTCTCTGCATGTGTTTGACTGCAGCCCTCTCTTCACAAGCTTCCCCAGGCTGACTTTCCATCTCAGTCACTCACTCACACAGGCACTCACTAGCCAGAAAAATAAATAAATAAATGGCAGATGCAGGCATTCACACAAACATGGCATACATATTACCATCTTGTGAATAAGACAGGAGCTGTAGCCACAATAGGTCTGCCCATTCAGAAACCAACCCTCTCTACATGTGGAGTATACTGTGTGTCTGTCTG